CTCCAATACTTGTTGTACCTCAGAATCTTTTATATTCTGGCATTTCTAAATTAAGCAAAAAATTGAATACACTAAAGCTGGCAACCATTTTACACAAAAAAATATGGATTACAATACTATGTAAGTAAAGTGAACTAAAAAGCTTGCACTTTTAATAATGGTGTAGAAAGTTCTCATGACGCAACCTTCAAATAGCGTCCAATTTCAAAAAGAACCAATCATTCCATATAAGCAGCAGCTTACCATGCGAAGATCGCTCATTATTCTTGCCAGCCGACCCTCACTTAGCTGCATAAAACGCAGGTCAGTGTCACGATCCCTCTCATCCTCATCCTAAGCAAAAGAAAATGCGACGACCAAGCAATTTGAACTACGACGACGAATGCAGACAACAGAAAACGTAAAATTATGCAACTTACCATAAGAACAGAGGAACAGGATGAAGACTCTTGAGGTGTTGTAGTGTTAACACTTTCACTAGAAAAAAGAAATAACGTAACCCTCCGTAACTTTAAGAATCTTCGAAGTATTAATTGAAACGATTTTAACAATTATATCAATATATCTAACGAACTTGTATGCCCTTCCGCCAAACCAACAATTTTTTTCCTGACTATAGTTTTCAGTTAGATTCGCATCCTGCAATAAGAATTTTTAAACACATCTCTTCTTCTGTATACAATCTAAGGGAATCTAATCCTTTATGATCTAATCACTGCTAAAGTCATACTCGTGCTGGATCACTCCTGGTCAGGTTTTCCCCAATATCCCGCTCCTCAATCCTTTCTGCCAAATCACTACTGGTAACAGTTTTAGGGTCCTTCATCTTCTCAATAACCAGAGCTACTTGCGGTACTGGGGCCTTCAAAGAGCATTTTGAGAATGTACTCTTAACGCTGACAATTCGAAAAAAAGTAGAAAATTCTTAGCAAATAAATTCCAAATGATTCCTAATCTTAAAATAAAAGGCAAATACGGCTTTATAAAATACATTAAAAACCTCAAAGTGACTAGCACTGAAAATTGCAACAGCAGATAACACAACAAATTTCACCAACTTGATAAGCGTACGTCGAACTCGTTACTTCAGCACTGTTCTCATTCTCTCTACTTTTTACCGTAACTGTCTTATACTCTTTCGAAGAACTGTCACTTGTCTCTATCCTTGACTTTTTGACGGTGATTTCACTGAAACAATATCCTTCAAAGCCTTACTACGTAGGTCCAGCTCCTCGAGCAACCGCAAAAAGTCAAAAAGAAATTAGACGTTGCTCAAAAAATTTGCAGCAAATTCAAAAAAGCTAAACTGCTAAATGCAACAGAAAATAAGAACTTTTTTTCAGGAGGAGTAGTACCCTTCGCCAAAGTGCTACGTTTTTTAAAATATTCAGATATCGATAGCCTCTGAAAAACACGTAAACTTTCTAAACCACCTTATAATTCAAATTTCTGTTACGACTTAATAATCCCACACTTCCACAATAAAGCTTCAAAAACAGAATCCAAAGTTCTTCTGAACTTGACTTTGAAAACGTTGTAGCTGTTCTTACATAAGTTGACAAGTGAAATGATTACCGGGTCCGTTAAACTGGTAGATGTAATTACTTTAGTTTTACGAAATTTAGCTGGTTTTTGGTCGGAATCTTTTTCGTAACTTGTGGTCTCCTTAACATCAGCAGTTTCGGCGTTAGGTCGTGGGTCATCAACATCCATGTCAACATTTTCAAAATTCTCTTCCACGTCTTTTTTCGAATATTCTAAAGCCACAGGCTAAAATATTCTCATGGTTACTCGTTCTTACAGAAGTATCATTCAGATGAAAGAAAGGTAAAAACTACCTCATGCACAATATCGGGTTTTAAAGTTCCTTCACAATCTAATGTTGTCGTTTCCAATTCTCCATCTAAAAAGTTTGAGAGGCACAGCAACATGACACAATTGTCTGAATATCTACAGCACTGTACAATGATCCCTAAAACACACAAAGGACTGCTTGCCTTTCTTAAAACTGAGTTTTCTCTTGAAAAGTTTTTGAATGTGATGACTTAAGCCGTCTACTCGTTCCAAGCAGAGTGGATCACGGTTTAATGCGGCACTGAAATAAAGGTAGATAAAAACCGTTAAAACAACAAAACGCTTTAAGCATTTTCGTCCCTACTTCTCTCGTTCGCTCAAAGGCTTATGCAGCCCCATGACACATGATTCTTTTGACAAATGAAGGCAATGAAACAAAGTTTCTCCCCGGTAGGGTAAACTTAGAGCCATACTGAGACTTCCGTTCGGTATAAGGATCAAATGCGCGTCAGAGTCCAAGATTTGGTAACCTACCTAAAATATCAATTTTTCGGTACACACTAATTCGCAGACCATGTTACTGATACGTATAGTTTATTACAAGTTATTCAAGACATCTTTCTTAGTTTTACAAATAATATTGAATTAAATAAGCCGAAAGTTACACAGTTTCACAGCCCAAAAGAACTCAGGCGAAAAGCTATTACGTTGAAAAGCATAAGAACCGATAAAAGAAAGGTTCCAGTAGTCATTGTAAACATATGTTTTAAATAGATTATAAGAAGTTAACAAATAAAAAAAATGGATGGAGAAAAAACAATTAATCACTTAAATAGATCACTTTTCACAAGAGATGATACTTACCACCCTATGAGCCTGAGTCATTTCTACAAACCTGACGAAACGTGGATTCTCCTGAGCAGCTGTTAGCACGTAGTAAGAAACGTAATGTTTCGAGTTGGCCAAAAACAGCTGGAACCATTTGAAGCAACAGTAAGTTTTAAAAAAATCATTTAAAAATCAATTCACTGGCTTTTACATACCTCTTTTTTGAGCCCTAGTTCACCAGCTGAGGTAGGCGATAAAAGTTCTTGAATGAAGGGAAATTTCAAACAAGTTGACCAATCAACCAAGGCTGGCACATGCAGCTCAAATAATCTAAAAAATTTACAAACAAGTACTACCTTGTACAGACGCAGTCATCAAAGTTCCACTTAACATGGATGAATGCAGAACTTTTTCAAAATTAAAATGTAACGTAAGTTTTTATAGCTAATCCTGAAGAAATTAAGAACTCTAAAAACATTAGTCTTACAATTAATAGTTCATTTTTTTTTTTTGGCATCATTCGTTTAAAGCTTTTATTAATCAGTGGTTAAATGTTCCCACAGTCTTTAAAGAAAAGCCATCGAACTTGAAAAATATAGGACAACTTCAAATTTTTTGAAATTCTCCAAAGTCTAAAGAAATGTAGATAAATGAGAAGTTAAGCTGGCGGCATTTTATGAGACCACACCTTACTTCACTCGGTTGAAGTCCTTGAACGAACCAACTGCATTAACAGCTAAATTATGCAGAAGTTTACAAAGTAATATGCTGTAAGCAATTTGGGCTATGCCAAGAATATGACGCACAGCCATATGCCTTGAAAAATAAACTCTTTAGCTAGACTATAAAATCACCGTTCAACAAAAGCAACTAAACGAATGTTGCTAAAAAACAAATTGTTTACCACGTAGTGCAGTATCCCCACCTAAAACTTGCTCCAAATTGTAAGCTAACTCTTTTCTCAGAATAAAATCAATTAATATCATCCTGGAGCTAACCTTTAAAATTAATGTTCAAAAGCAATCAGCAATCAGATAATTCACAAAGAAAAAATTGGAGCAAAGCCGTGAGTAATTAGGACGTTCTTCACGTAAAAATGATGTTATGAGTGATGTTTATCCACAGCAAACCTCGTTTGTTAAATACTTTTGTTAGTTTTCCAAAAAAAATTGTTCCGTCAATTTCGACATATGCTCAATGAAGGTCCAAATCGTTTTCAAAGTATCTATGATAGAAAGCAAGCAGAATTGGAAACGTGGGCTCACAATGATAACGGTTTTAGTAGTACTCCACCAATGCTCGAGAGCCGTAAATGGTGAAATACTTCAGCACCCGATTTAAGAGATCCTTTCCAAACTTCGCTTAACTTAACGTTAAACCTAAGAGACCTACAATTCCCAACATCAATGTGTAACATGAAAATTATATATCGCTTGATGGCTCTAAAAAATCCAAATCGGCGCCTTAAACTGAAAGGCGGCACAGAGTTCTGATTGTAAAATAAAAAAAAGCGAAGTGATTAAAACATTTTATCGCTTAGCTTAAAAAGTTTCTTAAAGAATTAAGGAATCCTGCTTACACGGTTGGTGGGAATTCAACAGTAAAAATGCCATAAGGCAAGACATTGGACGGGACTAGTGACAACTTCCCAGACGATAGTGTTTCAAATAAGAACACCTAAAATTCTGTGTTATAAACTCTTCAAAAGGCAGTGGCTGGAATACCGAATAAAAAATCAAATGAAAAACGATACTAGATAAGGAGGAATTTTTTTTAATATTATAGCAGTCTAGAAGATAGCTAACTTGGTTAGAACGATGCAAGAAGTATCGCGAAAGTTTGCGATTTTTAACTGGAGGTGGGATATGTGAATTGTAACCAAAGGAAGGCTCTACTTTATAAGAACCCAAATCTACAACCCGACTTCGACCTTTCAAAACCTAAAGTGCCATGAAGATAGAACTTTTACTTCCTACCAAGGAATCACACAGTTAAACCAACATACCTTAAAGCACATAATGCGTATTACTGTAGACTCAAAAAAAGCGGACGGAACAACAAGATCAGGACTTTCAATCAGGTATACTCCTTAAAAAACAAAAAGTATGAGACCCAGAATTTGAAGAGCCATGTTATGACATCATTTGACTCTCTCTGTAAGATAGAATAAACACAAACAATAACTACCTTTTTCGGCATTTCCAACCTCCCCTACTACAAAATTGCCAGCGCGTAAACCGTGTTCAACAATTACTTTTGCCTGAATTTAAAAATCGTTGAAGGATTCCGAAATAAGCAGAAGAAACGTGAAGAAAAAATGATTTTAATATGACCTGCTGTTGAATACCACTTAAGGCCATAAATCCGTATGACACTTCGGATGGAAGGCCAGCATCCTCTAGCTGCTTACGGAAGTTATTGAACTAAAAGAAAACAGAACTTTGAATTACCATTTTACGAGATGGAAAATAATTCAAACCAAAAATATGCTCTTAAAAACAACTTTATCCAAAAGCCTGGGAGCCTCACATAACTTGCCACAAAAATGCAATACTTTCAACTGTCAAGAATTGAACAAACAAACCTTTCTTTCTAAAACTTCACTACTAACTCCCATGCAACTTGAAATTTTAATTCCTTCTTTATTGCTGCAACTTTGTGATAATCGACCCATAAAAACTGGGCCAAATGACTTATGAAACATATCCGAATTGATTGCAACTTGAAAAACTTTTGGAGCGCTTGAAGTAATCTGTGGCTTCTCAGTAATTTCTGCAAGATATTGATCCAAAATTATAAACATATAAAACAACTTCTGCTTAATGAATGAGCCAATCTTTAAAGGACCAATGAAGAACCAAGCAATTTTTATTTATTTCTATATATCAAACTTTCCAGTGCAAAATAGTGGTGCAAATTTCAAAAAAAATAGTTCCACCGGATGATGCACAAAGAGAGTTGTTTGCGACAGCCCTGTTTCTAAAAAACCTGCATCTTAAAATAAAAAAATTTCTTCTAATTACGCATTTCGCAATAAAGGGCTACTTCTACCACTGAGAAATGCCTTCAAATGAAAAAATAAAGAAAAATATTCAATCAAGCCTATTTCAGATGTTCTAAGACAATACTACTTGTTTAGCAACATATACTACAAAAAACTAGACCATCACTGCTGGAAACTTTGAAAAATTTTTTTAAATCCTCATCATCGCATATCATAAAACTAGTCATATTATAACCTTACTAATTCCATGACTTCTCAAAAGAATCATCAGAAAAAACATACCAACACTTTTTCTAGGAATTGTGAAATTCTTCAATGGCGGATGGGTTGTAATAACATCCATTTCAAAGAAGACTGATTGCTACTGCAACAGATTTCGCTTATGCAGACAGTTATTTCGAAAGAATGGTTTATCCTGTTATTTGTTTGCTTACCTACAAGAAAAAAGATAACACCTCACACCGACAAGAGATTAGCAGACTTTAATGACCATTTATAAAGGTGTTGTGTTATTTTCGATTTTTTAAAGAATGCCGCATCTCAGGCGCTGATAGAGAGCAAAGCTAACTGACAGCGTTTCAGAGGTTCCAAAAGTGAAAACTACAAAAAGAAAAAAAAATTATCCCCTAAAACATAGAATGCATTTATAAAAAAGTTGTTGTTTAACTGTGACTCTGAATTCTTACCTTAACAGTGAGAAACCTCCAAAAAAAAAATTGTTCAAACAAATTCAATAACGAAGGTCCCACTGTTTTGTAGAAAAACTGACTTGTAACAGTGACAACACATGGCCGTTCTAAGTCATCAGATTGCCGCAGCCGGACCACCAGACTCGTATCGCTCGTTGACCAGCCAAAAAGACTTTCAAATCTACAGTAAGACCCTGTCAGCCAGTTACGTTGTACTTGCTTCAAGGATTTATTGAAGTGGCCTGTAAGACTCCAACCACAGCAAATCAAATTTGCGGTTGCTGTTACAGTGACGTTTGCCGTACATCTAATTGAATTAGTTTTTTTTTACGTCAGCGTGCTGCAGATTGTCTACTTTTGTTAGTTGATTTTGTAGTCTTTTTTCGAAGCTTGGTTACATAATTGTGGACCAATGAGCGGTCCAAATAAAAAAAGGAAAATTTTAATTTTGGTTTCTTTTCAAATTTTTACACTTGACCAAGGTGCCCAAAAATTGAGTTTTAATGTAAATGCGTAGTTTTGCGGCTTGTTATGCAGAGTATATGGAGATTTGGAGTTGCATGTAAATTAACGCGTTCACCTTTACAACTAAAAATATTTGCCTTGCGGTTGCCAGAAAGAAAGCAACAAAAACGAATCAAGAGAAG